ATTTCGTTGTTATGCAGACTTATTGTTTCTGGGTTTTTAATACATACTAGTCAAGACTTGTTCGGTTTCAAGTGTCAGAAAGTAACTCCCAGGTAGTTTAAGTAATAAAGAAAACATTGCAGATATGATCTTATTTAACTAAGTATCCTTCAAGCACAGCTGGATATAGGCATTCAAATTTTATTGTCAAGGCTCTTATCTATCTAGTTCTCTTATTTATGCATATCTCTATTTCTGCTGCCTCCTGCAGCCTCATTCAGGAAGATGTGTCTATTTCTTGGGAAATAATACCACTAGTACTCCAAGGCTTACCTCCTCAAAGCACATGATCTAAGAGGGCATCTATATATCAAACCTCTGAGAAGATCCTGGTTGGCCCTGTTTGTGGCAGATGATTCCTTTGTACAAAACGCTATGCTAGGGGGATTTGCATGCCCTGGCTGCCCTGGGCCACATACTCCTGTGTGTGTGGTATGACCAGAGTGAATGATATGCCATTCAGAAGATGAGAGCAAACAGGTGATTCCTCAGAGAAGGAATGCTTGCATTAATTTTACTACTAACATTCATTACTACAATATACTTTTTTAAAAAATATGATTTATTATCAAGTTAGCTAACATGTGGTGTATGCAGGGTGCTCTTGCCTTCTGGAGTAGATTCTCATGATTCATTCCTTCCATACAACACTCAGTGCTCATCCCAACAAGTTCCCTCCTTCTTTTACTGATAATGTCTCTGCATGACCTTGCTTCCTTGTTTCTTGGCTCCATGAATTATTCCATCAAAAGCATGGCCCTCATGGTTCTCAGATCCTACTGCAGTAACAAATGAAAAGACAAAGTACGGGACCATAGAAGTCTTGAGCCTTCTGAATCTCAGAAAAGGAAAGCTTATGGGGGCACGTGCAAGCTTCCATTGGATCATCTGGCTTTCTGAAAATCACCAGGAAAAAAGAGTTTGGTAACGGCCTGGCTTTGAGACTGCCACACCTGCTTTGTCACCATTCTCCCTCCCACCCAGACCTGTAGAGACAGAAAACAATTGTGGGTGATAAAAGCTATTACCAACAATGTGACAGGTGATAGCTGATGTGGAACTCAGAGTCATTTTCCCCTGAGAGAACAGTTGAGAACCGGATAGAATCAACCAGCTGAGTCTCTTCAGGTGCTTAACTTTTATGTGAGGGCTCTGGAGTTCAATAATTCATGCTAATGCAGCCAGCGGCAAGCAAATTGCATTCACACTCTATTCAGATTTTTATTATAAAACAGAGCCCCAAATGAGTTTTATGATGGAAAAACATACTTGGTGACTTCTGCTGGATGAAAGAGAATGAGGATGATAGAAACCCAGGCCTTGAGGTCAGAAGAGCCTAACTCAGTCTCGTGGCTGCCACAAACGGGCTGTGTGACCTTGCCTGATAACATTGAACGTCTCAGAACTTCTGTTTCTTCATCAATACAATGACACCACCCACTTCATAGGATTTTAAGATCATATGAATGACACAATACATGGAGAGTGTAGTAAAGCTGTAATGTGAGACAAATTTCTGTGGCCTGCCAGTACCGCAGTAAATGTCAATTTCCTTCCTTTCTTCAGATTCTCTCCCTCTCTCTGCACCCACCATCCCCACCATCCTTTTCTCAGCAGGAGGACAATGGTTCCTATAAGTATGAATGTAGGACTGAGAATACCAGAGGAGGTTAAAGAGAAAGATGTTAAAAATGAATTGGCAGTTCGTTTCCATAGTATCTACCTGTACTGAGGGGAGATGGAGAAAAGATGAAGATGGCCAGGCAATTAGAACTATCTCAGGGTTTCAAAGTTCATACATCTTCAGAAAGATGTAGTGCAATTTCAGTTTTAATATACTTGCTTAGTAGTCATTAAAATATGTAACCACTTGCACTGAAATGTCTTCCAGGAAAGAATGAAAAAAGGCAGCTTAGCCATTTACAAAGCCTGCATCAAAACTCCACTGTTCCCGTTTTAGTAAGAATAAGATGTAACTCAGACGAGGGCATCAAACTTGAAAGCTGGGGAGCTTGATGCAAACATAGCTACTTGAATTGCATTCCAAGAGATTCTGGTCAAATAAGTTAGGGATGGGGTTCAGAAGTCTGCATTTTGAACATCTCCCAGGAGTCTGATACAGGGGAACCTTCATTTTGAAAAACACTGGCTTGGGCTCTTCAGGATAGACAAACTCAACCTCAAATCCTGAACCCACCACTTTCTACCTTCATGAACTTGGGCAACTTTGTAACTTCTCTGATACATGGTTTTCTAATCACAGGTTAGCACGAGATTAAATAAGACATACTGAGATATATTGTGGAGTGCCTAGCACAATACCTGGCCCATAGGAAGGGGCACTCAATAAATATTAATTATTGACACTATCATTATTATGCAAAGTCAAAGAAAGGGGCTTCGGTTCTTTGCTGCTTCTTTTTTTTTTTTCATTCCTCCCCCTTTTCTTTTACAAATTCAAACTAACAATGCATTAAGCAAGACAGAAGTTTATTTAGCTTCCAGACAAAAGTCTGGAAGTAAAAGTAGTCCAGCACTTGCCCAGCAGCTCTGCAACCCAGACTACTTACCCTCTTCCCTCTTTTACTGTGACCCTCATCCTCATTGTTCAGGATGGCAGCTAGAACTCCAGCAATGTGTCTGCATTCCACATGGCAAAGTGGAGGAAAGGAAAGAGAAAATCAGTCTCTCTCCAAAGGACACTTTCCAAAATTCACCTATACCCCATTGGCCAAAACTTAGCTTCCTCAGGGAGGCTGGAAAATGTGACCAGTGTTCCAGGTGGCTGTGGACCAACCAAAATGTGATGTATTTTACAATGGAAAATTGGGAGAAAGAATATGGAGGGACCACGGTTGTTCCCTGCTATACCCAACCCTGGGAGTCTAACAGATTCAGATCATTCTTCAGAAATCGTCTGCTCTCCTTCTGCTTCCACCTGATTATTTCTCAGCTAAGAAACTTTTCTGAAAGGTAGTTGTAAAGTCTGTTGATCCAACTCAGCTTGGCTTGTTTTCTTCCTAAATTGCTTCCATACCTTTTATTTTTCGTTCCCTAGTCTCATTCGTTTTATTTCTACTGTCCTTTTTTTTTTTCAATTTTCTTTTTTACGTAATCTCTATACCCAACGTGGGCTCAAACTCATGACCCAGAGATCAAGAGCTAAATAGTCCTCTGTCTAAGCTAGCCAGGCACCCCTCTACTATCAAATTTTAATAGGCAATTTCACTGTAGAAAAGTTAGAAAGCACTGCTAAGCACTTAGAGAAACATTTTTTTTTAATTTTCAAAAATATCATCGCTAGTATGGCCATCTAGCATTTGCTCAAGGTAAAAATATACATATGTGTTCAGAAGGAAAGCCTAGTTTTCATTTGTAATGAAAACAAAACAGTTTTTAACCTCTTCTATTAAATTTAGTATGTATCAGGAGTAATTCTCATATAGATTCGCTCATCAATTTTAATGACTGCAGGGTTTTCCACTGTGTGGGTGTATCATAATTTATTCAACCAATTCCATTTATAATCTCCACGACGCTGTGCTAAACCTCCTAGCCCACGCGTCTTTGCTCACATGTCCATGAGTTTCCCAGGGATGAGCTGTGTTCCTATGGTTTTCTTTTTCTGTGGGCTCTCTTTACTGTATTCAGGGACCAGCAGAAAAGCACTTCTCTACCATCCCTGCAGCAAGGGACTGTTCAGATCTTGTCTCTACCCCTAAACTGCCTGAAATTCCTTTTCAAATACCACTGTGGGTTTGGAAGGTTCTTAGAGAACTGAAACACTGCCCGCTTATAGCCCCTTATGAATAGCAAGACCGCCCCCGAGAGAGGGGACTACTTCACCCCATTGCTGAGGAAAGCAAAAATAAAATACAAGCCAAGTGACGCTGAAGGGAACTGATGCCAAGCAAGACCAGAGTGAGGCCATTTGTGTGTGCAGAAACCAGTTTCAACTAAAAAAAAAAATGTACTTGACTGAAATAATTACTTAGATGGACAACTAATTTGACAGTTCTTTAGCTGATTTTTTTAAAGTGATGACTCATCTATGATTAATTGTGTCTTTGTCTCAGTGTTCCCTAATGATGCAAACACGCATGAGGTTTACAATTTCTAGACAAGGCTGAGGATAAATCATGCTGCATTGTTCTCATAGAGCACTTTCTCTCTCTCTCTCTCTATTTAAGTTTTGTTTTAGTAATTTCTACACCCAACGTGGTGCTCAGACTCACAACTCTGAGACCAAAGTCTCATGCTCCTCCAACTGAGCCAGCCAGATGCCCCTCATACAGCACTTTGTATTTTCAGGGACTTTTCACCTCAGTTTTCTCCCCATCAACAATGAGGAATAGGTAGAACTGATGTTATTAGCCTTTCCCTACAGGTGATGGTTGTAAAAGATGCCATTTTTTGGGTATGTACTATGTGTCAAGCAATATGCTAAATACATTATCAATATTATGTAGTCCTCACAACTGCCCTGGTAAAGCACATATTCTAGTATTATCCCATTTTATAAATGGATAGATTTATGCAAGATTAATCATGTGACTTGATGACGGCCACATGACGGGAAAGAGGTGGAGCCAGAATTCTAAATCAGTATTCAGGCCCCAGAAACAGTCACTGATTCACTCAAGTTCACACAGTTGTGTCCAAAATCCTGTTCCCTGCAGAGTAATTAAGAACAGGGGCTCTAAAATCAGACAGTCTGAGTTCAGAACCACTGTTTGCCATTTCCCAGCTATGTCCCCTTAGGCAAGGTACTAAACCACTCTGTGTCTCAGTTGCCCTGCTTAGATATGGGCTAATGTCTATCTCAAAGGTTAAAGAAGATGATCTACATCCAGCACTTAGCCCATAGGGAGTGCTCAGTAATCAGCTATTAAGGCTACACATCCCTCCATCCCTCCAATCTGTAAGCTAAGTACATATTCCACTGGTCTGTGCTGCTGCAGGTGCCAAGAGCAAAGGCCTTATGCAACTACCGAGGGCAGAATCCCGGCGACCTGAGGTTTAATAAGGGAGACGTCATCCTCCTCCGGAGACAGCTGGATGAGAACTGGTACCAGGGGGAGGTCAATGGAGTCAGTGGGATCTTCCCAGCCAGCTCCGTGGAAGTCATCAAGCAACTGCCCCAGCCACCCCCGCTTTGCCGGGCCCTCTACAACTTTGACCTACGGGACAAAGACAAGAGTGAGAACCGGGACTGCCTGAGCTTCCTCAAGGTACGATTCTAGGCCGCTGTGGAGGTCACCAGCAAACACACAGAGACTGTGCCACAGCCTGGAGGGTTTAATACTTGCTAATTTTAAAAATGTATATATAGTTTACACAGAAATATTTATATGTGTGTGTGTAGTTCAAAACTAAATGGAAGTTGCCAAAGAAATCTGCTAAAGAGTTTGATGCAAATTCTTAAGCCTTTTGCATGGCAATTACGAAAGTTAAGTATTCAGGGCACCTGGGTGGCTCAGTTGCTTAAGCATCTGACTTCGGCTCAGGTCATGATCTCACAGTTTGTGGGTTCGAGCCCTGCGTCAGGCTCTGTGCTGACAGCCAGCTCAGAGCCTGGAGCCTGTTTCAGATTCTGTGTCTGCCTCTCCTCTGCTCACACTCTGTCTCTCTCTGTCTCACTGTCAAAAATAAATATTAAAAAAATTTATTATCTAGATTATAAAAAGAACTCTCAAAACTCAGCAGTAAAAAAACCAAACCCACTAGAGGGTGGGCAGGAAATATGGAGACATTTCACAAAGAGGTAGCCTGATGGCAAAGACGCACGAGAGGATGTTCACCATTATTAGCCATCATGGAAGTGCATATTAAANTCTCTCTCTCTCTCTCTCTCTCTCTCAGAAATAAAGCATTTTTTTAAAAAAAGTTAAGTATTCACACATTCATTCATTCATTCATTCATTCTAGACACTTTTGAACACCTCTTCTTTGCAGGCACTAGGGATGCAGCCTGAACAAGTCCCAGTCTCTGCCCAAGGGCAGAGTAGTGGGACAGACAGACAGGTGGACAACAGTTTACAAAACATTCTGACCGTGTGCTGTGCAAAACTACAACCCTTTCCTTTGTACCATAAATCTAAGGGCATGCTTGCTGACCAAGTTCTGAGCATCTAATTTTACTTTTTACAACATTCTATTTCATTGTAAACATTGTATTCAAAACATTCAAAACACACACAATACCATAATTATACCTTTATATATAAATAACCTCTTACAAGTTGTATTTTCCAAGCACATTAATTACTCGAAGGTATTTTTTGCCTCTTTTTTTAATCAGATAATTCTTCACCATGTGCAAGAAACAGCACTTCTACTAAAGTCTAGACTACTTTAATTCTCCGTATTCAGTATTTATGATTCCTTAAACATTCAAATTCTCTCAGAGAAGCCAAAGTTGAGGTTATTTTCACCCTTTGCTGCTTATGAGAAGTACATCAGTACTAGAAGCGGCTTTGGTGGAGTAGCTCAGGACAGGTCTTTTCTTTTGTAAAACACTTTTATTGCATCACTACCAGAAATGAGATTTACTGCAAATTGCCTCAAACTAGATAACCTTACTGTTCTCCATATTTTGAAATACTGACCATTATTGTCTTGGCACCTCAGGGTGAGTCCTCTTTTTTTTTTGTTTGTTTATTTATTTATTTTGTGTATGTGTGTGTGACAGAGATAGAGAGATACAGAGAGAGAGACACAGAGAGAGAAAGAACACACACGTGGGATGGGGCAGAAAGAGAATCTCAAACAGGCCATGGGCTGTCAGCACACAGGGCAGTGAGGGGCTTGATCCCATGACCCATGAGATCAAGACCTGAACCAAAATCAAGAGTCTGATCCTCAATCAACTGAGCCACCCAGGCACCCCCCTCAGAGTGAGCCCCTTAGGGAAGGTCATTCTGTAGCCCAAAGTGTAAAATCTGTGTTTCAATTACACTTAGAGGAAGGGCAGTACAAACCCACAGATATTCACTGAGTATTTACTTTGTGCCAGGCATTAAACACTGAGCTCTGGGGACACTGCTGGAAGGAGACAGAGGCAGGAAGCATCATCTTCCTTTTTGCCCTTCTGTGAGAATTTGCAAACTAGGACACTTACTCCACCTGCTTGTTCATTCATCGAGCTCATCCATGTGCCAAGCTGTCTGCTGGGGATAAAGTGATGAGTCATTATTCCTACCTTCACAGAGCTGGCAGACGAGTGGAAAGAACACACATGTGAATGGAAAATTATGATAAAGGAATCAGAAGAGAGGAGTTGAGCCACTCTGGAAGCTAGGAAAGGCTTGGACTACACTAGGAAATTTCATGGTCTTCTTAAACTCAGCATGTCCAAATTAAACAAAAGATCTTCCCTCCCAAAACTATTCTTTTCCTAGTGTTCTCTATCTCAGTAAATTATAGAATTTACTCACACATTGACTTATTCATGCATGCACACATTCGTTTAGAAATTTATTGAATGGTCACTAAATGGGAACCACTGTATTGGGTGCTAGGGACACAGAAAGGAACAGAACAGACACAGGCCCTGAACACACAGAGTTTAGAGTCTGAGGGGGTAGACACAGGCATTAAAGAAATCACAACCTATAAATGTATAATTGTAAATTTTAATAGGGGCAGAGAAAACTAAGAAAAGGTATAATGCAGTAATGAACTCAGATTTTGATTCATCTAAATTGCTGAGAGGCATGGATCGGAAGGTCAGAGTGATCAGTAGATGGATATTCAGATTTGGATTGATGGACAGGTATGGATATGGAAAAGTATTCCTGATATGGTATACAGTGAAAAGTCGGTGTGTCTTATATGACTTCTTTTGTATGAAATATAAGCCTAGTCATAATGAGTGTATATGCTAGGAGTCAGAATAGTGGTTACCTCTCACTAGACAATGAAAAAGGACACAAAGGAGTCTTGTGGGTGCTGGAAATGTTCTATATCTCTTGATCTGGATGTGGGTTTTGTAGGTATAGTTAGTATTAACATTCATCAAGCTTTATATCTAAACTTTATGAACTTTATAGTTCATATGTGTGTGTGTATGTGTGTGTGTGTGTGTATGTTTTCAGCAAAGTTTTTAAAAACCAACATATTTATATGTATACTGCATAGGTTTCATCTTCATAGAGATGAATCTGGCTGGGAAATTGTTCTAACCAGGGTGTTAACAATGGTTGTATACATATTGTGGCAGAATTCTTTGGTTTGCTTACTATATTTTCAAATGTTTTTACAAATCTTTATATAACTTTTTTAAATGTTTATTTATTTATCTTGAGAGAGAAAGACAGAGAGAGAGGGAGGGGAAGAGAGAGAGGGAAAGAGAGAATTCCAAGCAGTATCTGGGCTGTTGGCACAGAGCCCAATGAAGGACTTGATCCCACAAACTGTTGAGACTGTGACATGAGCAGAAATCAAGAGTTGGATGCTTAACCGACTGAACTACCCAGGAACCCCTATAACCTTTTGTAATAAGAAAATTTTGAATAAAAACCACCTTACATTTGATACATTAAAAATTGAATAGGTTCTGAAAATTTTTCAAAATTAGAATGAAATTTATTCTCCCTTTTGCTAAGCTAAAAATCTATCTGCCTGTGGCTCCCATATTGATTTCTCCATCTGATTAATATAAATGAATGCTCAGAATCTGCTAGTGATTGAAAATTAGAAACATTTCCATTGGGGCACCTGGGTGGCTCAGTCGGTTAAGCGTCTGACTTAGCTCAGGTCATTATCTCGCGGTTCAGGCCCGCATCAGGCTCTGTGCTGAGAGCTAGTTCAGAGCCTGGAGCCTGCTTCAGGTTCTGTGTCTCCCTCTCTCTCTGACCCTCCCCTGCTCACACTGTCCTTCTCTCTCTCTCAGACATAAATAAAACATTAAAAAAACTTAGAAACATTTCCAAATTTTCTATTAGATTCCACTGGTCCTCCAAATTATTTCTACTCCTCTTGTGGTCTTGGTGGCCCAATACTGCCCTTTATGGAGGAAGATTTTATAAATAAATTATGAAAGAGTTACATTTCTTGTACCTTACACCATCTGGGATTCCAAGCTGATCTCCACCGAAAGCTTTTACCACCCAAAAACTGAGAGTGAATGCTGACCATGAAACTTTCTTTCTTTCAGGATGATATCATTACTGTGATCAGCCGAGTGGATGAGAACTGGGCAGAAGGCAAGTTAGGAGATAAAGTCGGCATCTTCCCAATCTTGTTTGTAGAGGTACGTGAGCATCAAGTCTACATCTGGTTCACACCCCCTCAGAAATAGACATGTGCCACAGGGATGCCTGAGAGAAATTCCTTTTTGATATGAGGCTTACTTCAGAAGTAACTAAAGTCTCCAAAGAAAAGATGCCAAAGATAACCTCCAGTGCTGGCAAGAGTGTGGGGAAACGGGTCTTTTTACTCTGCTGATGGGAGTGTAAATTGTGCATGTCTCCTACCCAAAGTCAAAGAAACCCATGTCAATAACACTAAAAACCTATGTCTCCTCTGATTCAGCAGTTGGACCAATCTAACAGTTTATTGTAAAGAAATATTCAAACAAGTACAAAAATACATGTGTTCACCATCCATTGTGTAACCGTAAAAAACCAAAAGTAATCTAACTATCCAACCATAAGGATTTTGTTTTTTAAAATTATGGTGAGGAAAAAATATATATACCCGTTAAACATAATGTTAAAGAATATTCAATATTTTTGAGTATTTGGTATATATGAGAAGATATTTATGATTTGTTGTTAAGGAAAGTAAAGTTTAATGGGCATAGAGTCTCAGATTTAAAAAGCGAAGAAGTCTTAGAGATCTGTTTCACAACAATATGAATATACTCAATATTGCTGAATCGTATGCTTTACAATGGTTGTTAGGGTAAATTTTCCATTATGTGTTTTTTACCACAATAAACGAATGGATCTATATTAAACCAGCTTCATAAATATGCGTGTGTATAAATGGACAGAGGGCTAGAAGGATATGTACAAAAATGTTAACAGTGGTGATCACCAGATAGTGAGATTCTAGGTAATTTTCATTTTCTTCTGATGACCTATATTTTGTAAATCTTCTGAAATGAGCATATATTACTTGTGGAGATTTTTAAAGCTGCTTTTTAAAAGAAGAAGAAGAGTACATGTTAGACTCTACCTGTTTCTTAAGTGTAATACTATAATCTGGAGTTCCTAACCTCTGTATCCTTGAGCCTCACCCTAGCTTGAGGCAGGTCATTACAAATTTAAGAGAGGTTTCATTGTTTAACTGCATTAATTGGATGCTTACCAGGCATAAAGCATTAAAAGTGAGCAATGGGGAGCAACGAAAGAAGTAAAAGCCATGTTTTCCACCCTCTGGGAAAGTAGTGTGAGAACAGAATGGAGGCAGAGTTAGAGAAAAGAGAGCAGTTCTTTCATTCATAACAGCCAAAGCAGGTTCTGAGCTTTGAAGGTTCTCTATAACTCTTCTGACTTAATGCTGAAGGGATGGAAAATGGAAGAGAATGATGGGTCCAGAGAGTCTGGGCATCTTGTCATCTTTAGTCAACAGTATTCTTATTACCAGTCCTTTTTCTCTTGCTGAAGCCCCTTTCAGGCACACACACACAATTCTCTCTACCTGTTCAAATTTTACTCATTTTACAAGGCTCAACTAGAAGCCTAGTTTTTCCATAAAATTTCCATCTATTAGTTGAACACTCCATTGTCTCTTTCTTCTCCAAATACCTGAGGGGTGTATTGGTTATACCTCATAGGCTAGACTGACACAAAAAAGCTCTCTGCAAAAAAAAAAAAAAAAAAAAAAAAAAAAAAAAAAAAAAAAAAAAAAAAAAAAAAAAAAAAAAAAAAAAGAAAAGAAAAGAAAAAGAAAAAAATTAACAGGTGAATGAAGAGAAAAAAATAGAAAACAATCCATTCAGTGTGGCCCTGTCCTGTATTCATATATTCAATCACTCAACTCATTTTTCATTGAATACCTGCTAAGTCAGGTCCTATGCTGAGTTCTAAAGATACAGAGACATATATGTCTCTACTAGCAGAGACTGTAAAGTCAGACATTAATCAAGTAATTATTAAGTGTGATGAATGATGCAAAGAATGAAGGGGAGGGAAGTAAAGGGGAAGGGAGGGAATGACATGCAACTGACCTGGGAAGGGGGTCAGTGAATACCTTGTAAGCCAAGATCAGACAGATGGATAGGAGTTATGTAGGTAAGCACAGAGGAAAGAATGTTTTAGGGAGTGGAGTTAACATATACAGAAGTCTGGCAGGTTGAGGAAGTGTAGCATACCCAGAGGACCAAAAGAATACTAGAGCTGGAGCTTAGAAAGTAAGATGATGACACAATACACCAGGGAAGTGAGTGGGAGATGGGTCACAGAGGGCTTTACAAATCATCCTGTATTAGTCAGCAAGAACTAGGTTATGCTATGGTAATAAAGAGCCCCAAGCTGCCAGTGGCTTAACAAGGAAACACTTATTCTCATCCACATTACATGTTTAGCACAGAAGAGTGAGAAGCTGTGCTCACATAGTCGCTCCAGAAACCCACAATGGGGTTGGACCACCCTGTAGTTGCCATCAGGAACACATGGACTTGCCCAGTGTTCATAGCAGGGGAGGAGTAAGGAAGATGGAGTTGGGTATCCGCAAATGTCCCAGCTCAAAAGTGACATGTGTAACTCCACTCATCGCCCACTGGCTTGAACCAGTCCTCTAGCCCCACCTGTCTTCAAGTGAGCTGAGAAGTAGCGGGGGCCACAAGGACCGTCTGAGAAGTATGCTCGTCTCTGCCATATCACAGGAAGCTCTGACTTGATCCAGAAGTCAGTAGACACCTCTGAAAGACTTTAAGGGACACAGTAACTCCATCAGAACTGGATTTCTTTTTTTTATGTTTATTTATTTTTGAGAGAAAGAGAAGAGCATGAGCAGGGAAGGGAGAGAGGGAGAGGAAGACACAGAATCTGAAGCAGGCTCCAGGCTCCGAGCTGTCAGCACAGAGCCCCATGTGGGGCTAGAACCCGTAAACTGTGAGATCATGACCTGAGCTGAAGTCAGATGCTTAACCGACTGAGTCACTCAGATGCCCCCAGACCTGGGTTTCCTAAAGGCTGCTCTTCTAGCTACAGTGAGAAGAATAATTTGAGGAGGAAAAGAGGAAAAAGCAGAAAGACCAGTTAGGAGGCCGTGCATGGCTCAGTTAGAAGATGACTGTGGTTTGGACCAGAAGATTAGAAACAAGCAGACAGATTCAAACATCATTTAGGAGGTAGATCCACAGGCCTTGGAGGTTGACAGAAGTGAGGAACAGGGGAGAAGGAGTGGTCAAGAATGCATGCCCCACTTTCTGCTTCATGTGCCTAGGTTAGTGGTAGAGCCACTACTAAAGAGGAAAATTTCATTGACGGGGAGACCGTGGTTAAGTTTCCAAAGAAAGAGATCAGCTACAATTAATCTAAGTTTGATACATAGGAGGTGCTTAAATTTTTGCATTTTAGAGCTTGCCTGTCCCCTGCATAATTTCAAGAAGTTTCTCCATAGCTCGGGGGGGTGGGAGGGTGGGGGGGGGGAAGCACCATTGATTTTATTACCCATTTTTGGTACTCTTTTTTCCCCAAACTTCTACATTTAATGATTATTCATTTGGACACTCTCCCCACTTCACCTCTAAAATTAGCGATTATGAGAACCCTCAAGATGATCATCAAACTAGCCATTGCTTCATTTGTTCTCCTAACTGCTAGGAGGGGGAGAAAGATAATCAAGTGGTTGCTCTAATCTGGAAACCTGATTTTCAAAAATTACTTGAAATCTAAATTGAGCTTTTTAAAGCAGTACTTAAATTTTGACTCCAGTCGTTTCATTAAGACTAGCACTAGCTAAGAATTCTTTAAACAAGTTTTGAATTATCAGTGCCATCCAAAGCAACTGAAAAGAAGGAAAGCTTTCTTGTAAGAGTGACGTGGGTTGTTGTTTTTTTTTTCTTTTTTGCATAAACAGGATTTTTCTTGTTAATGTATGCCTTGACTTATTGAATTACACCTGAATAAAAAGGTGGTAATACAAATACTGAGCTTATACCCATTCTTGTCAGGACTTCTCCAGTGAGGCCTGCCTGTGTTATGTGAACCTTGCTCAGCCCAATGAACCTCAAGGATATTGTTTCCAATGAGTGGCTACAAATTTAAGAGATGTGCTGTCTTTTCCCAGCTGAGCTATTAATCACGTTGGCAGAGCACAGGGCAGACCAAGAGTCACACAGAGCCCTTTGTCAATGTGGCTGATGTAAACGCTGAAGATGTTGCTCACCAAGGGAAAGAACAATTAGGAAGCAGGAAAAAGAAATTAGCTTATTTCATCGTAACTGTGAATGACCATAAAATGAATGACTTGACTCATTCAACTCAAAGAGTCTATGTTGCCCTCTTAATGGGTCAACATTGGAGGGATAGGTGCTCTGGGGAATGCAGACATTGTCCCTAGTCACACTGCTGTCAGAGCTTGCCGACACAACTTCAGTAACTTCCTAACCCGTCTCCCTACTTCTGCGCTGGCACTTCTGAATAAAAAGAAAGCCCATTCTGGCTTTTTTGTTTTTTGTTTTTATTTGTGTATGGCAAAAATTTACTTTTTGGGCCCACTTCTATACATTTTGGTAAATACGTACAGGATACCCCACATCACCATCATGATATAGAACAGTCCCAGGGCGCCTGGGCAGCTCCATCAGTTAAGCCTCTGACTTCGGCTCAGGTCGTGGTCTCACAGTTCATGAGTTCGAGCCCCAAGCTGGGCTGTCTGCTGTCAGTGTGGAGTCGGCTTCAGATCTTCTCTTTCTCTCTGTCTCTCTCTGTACCCCACCGCTCTCAAAAATAAATAAGCCTTAAAAAAAAGATCTAGAATAGTTCCACATCGCCCAGAAATACAACAGCATGATGACTCTTTGTAGTCAGCCCCTTCCCTGACTCCCAATAGCAAACAATCACAGATCTGGTGTTTGCTTCTATACTTTTCCTTTTCCTGAACGTCATAGCAATGGAATCCTGCAAAATGTAGCCTTTGAGTCTGGCTTTCTTCACTTAGCACAGAGTGTTGGAGATTCATCCATGTTGTCAGGCATATCGTCAGCTCTTCCCTTTTTACTGTTGAGCCATATTCCACTGCATGGGTGTGCCCAAGTTTGCTTGTCCATGAACCAGGTAAAAGACAAAGCAGTTGTTTCTAGTTGTCAGCAACTACAAGTAAAGCTGCCATAAACATGCACATTCTGATTTTTGAACGGGCAAATGTTTTCATATCTCTTCAGTAATTACCTAGGAGTGGGATGGCTGGATCAGATGCGAAGTATGGGTTTAGCTTTGTAAGAAACTGCCACAGCCTAACATGAGCTTTTAAAAGCAAAAATCAGAGGCGCCTGGGTGGCTCAGTTGGTTGAGCGTCTGACTTTGGCTCAGGTCATGATCTCACGGTTTGCGGGTTCGAGCCCTGCATCAGGCTCTATGCTGACAAGCAGCTCAGAGCCTGGAGCCAGCTTCAGATTCTGTGTTTCTCCCTCTCTCTCTGACCCTCCCCTGCTCACTCTGTCTCTCTCTCTCTCAGAAATAAAGAAAAACATTAAAAAAATTTTAAAGCAAAAATCAGATTGTGTCACTCCTCTCCCTAATCCTACCAAAGTCTTCCTATTACACTTAGAATAAACTTGAGCCTCCCAGGACCTTTGTGACCCGGCCCCTCCCTGTCGCTGTGGTCTCTTTACCACCTACTCCATTCTAGCTTCTCCATTTCAGCTCTCTCTCCATTCCAGCTTCTGTTTCTTTCTTGTCTTTTTCTCAAACAGACCATTTTCCCCCCTCTTAAGGATCTTTTCACTTGATTATAATCCCTCTGCCTGGCATGTTCTTACCCCCATCTTTACACGGTTGGTTCCACCTGTCATCTGTGTCCCAGTCAAAGGTTAGCTTCTCGGCGGGACTTCTTTGGCCCACCTCTCATCTAAAGTAGGCACCTCCCCCAACCTGTCTCTATCACATCAAAGCATTTGCTTCTATCTGATTTTCTTGTTTGGTTGATTTGCTGTCTGTGCCATTTATAAGTCACCCCTTCTGGGCCACAGATCTTTTATCTTTAGTGGACAAAATAGGGGCACCTGGGTGGCTCAATCAGTTAAGCATCTGACTTCAGCTCAGCTCATCATCTCACACTTTGTGAGTTCAAGCCCTGCAGCAGGCTCTGTGCTGACAGCTCGGAGCCTGGAGCCTGCCTCGGATTCTGTGTCTCCCTCTCTCCCTGGCCCATCCCCATCTCACATTCTGTCTCTCTGTCTCTGTCTCTCTCTCTCTCTCAAAGATAAACATACATACATACATACATACATACATACATACATAAAGTGGACATAATAAGGGCACCTGAGTGGCTCAGTCAGTTAAGTGTCCGACTCAGCTCGGGTCATGATCCCACAGCTCATGAGTTTGAGTCCCCCCCATTGGGCTCTGTGTGGACAACACAGAGGCCGGATCCTGCTTCAGATTTTGTGCCTCCATTTCTCTCTCTGCCCCTCTCCACTCATGCTCTGTCTCTCTCCTTCAAAAATAAATAAACATTAAAAAAATTTATTAAATAAAATAAACTGGACATAATAATACCCCTTCCCCTATTCGATGATTTTCTTTTTCACAATATTACCAGTTTGTGAGGTAGGAACTGCATCTTCTTTAAAAATTTTCTTTCTTGGGGGGTGCCTGGGTGGCTCAGTCAGTTGAACATCTGACTTTGGCTAAGGTCATGAACTCATGGTTCGTAAGATTGAGCCATGCATGGGGCTGGATGCTGTCAGTACACAGCCCACTGTGGATCCTCTGCCCCTTCTCTCTCTGCACCTCCTTCCTCCCCTCAAAAATGAATAAACATTTAAAATAAAATAAAATTTTCTATCTTGACTATTTTTAATCCTCTGCACAGTGTCATTTAAAAGTTCTTAAATACATCCTCCTACACTGCTGTTGGGAATGTAAACTGATGCAGCCCCTCTGGAAAACAGTGTGGAGGTTCCTCAAAAAAATTAACACTAGAACTCCCCTATAACCCAGCAATAGCACTACTAGGAATTTACCAAGGGATACAGAAGCGCTGATGCATAGGGGCACATGTACCCCAATGTTCATAGCAGCACTCTCAACAATAGCCAAATCATGGAAAGAGTCTAAGTGTCTATCAACTGACGAATGGATCAAGAAGATGTGGTTTATCAATGTTCATAGCAGCACTCTCCACAATAGCTAAAACATGGAAAGAGCCTAAGTGTCCATCAACAGATGAATGGATCAAGAAGATGTGGTTTATCTATACCATGGAATACTCCATGGCGATGAGAAACAATGAAATCTGGCCATGTGTAGCAACATGGATGGACCTTGAGGGTGTTATGCTGAGCGAAATAAGTCAGGCAGAGAAGGACAAATATCATATGTTTGCAC